AGAGAGAGAGAGAGAGGAAAGAGACAGACAGACATAGAGAGAAAGAGATGATAAAGAAATAGGGAGATGGATGGATGGATGATAGACAGATGATGGAGAGAGATGAAGAGAGAGAGAGAGAGACAGAGAGGAAAGAGACATATGAAAGAGAGAGAGATGATAGAGAAATAGGGAGATAGATGATAGATAGATGATAGATGATAGAGATAGATGATAGAGACATGAAGAGAGAGAGAGAGATACATAGAGAGAGAGAGGAAAGATAGACAGACATAGAGAGAGAGATGATAAAGAAATAGGGAGATGGATGGATGGATGATAGAGATGATAGTGAGAGAGATGGAGAGAGATACACTGAGAGAGGCAAAGGAAAGGGACAGACATATGAAAGAGAGAGGGAGATGATAGAGAAAAAGGGATATAGATAGTTAGATCTAGAAATAGATGAAAATAGAGAGAGACATGCAGAGAGAGACCAATAGGAAAGAGAGAGAAAGGCAGACATATGAGAGAAAGATGATAGAGACATGGGGATAGATTGAACTAGATGGAGGTGGAGATAGAGACAGACAGGCAGACAGGGAGGGAGGGAAGAAGGGAGGGACGGATGGATGGATGGAACAGCTTGGCTCCAGGAATTACGGGTTCTTCCCTGCCTTGGGCTACGCTGGTTGAGGAATTCTGGGAGTTGAAGTCCACAAGCCTTAAAGTGGTCCCATTTGGAGACCCCTGTTCTAATGGGATGGGAAACGATAGGGAAAAATTCAGGAGGGTTTGTGGGGTTTTTTCCCGATCAGCCCAAATTTTTGTCCCTCTTCCTCCCAACGGACTTTTGTAAGGAGCAAAACTCTTCCAAGTCTTCCACGTTTCCAATTGCCAATCCCTTCAGGTTCCCTTCTCCTTCCTTCCTCCACTTCTCCGTTGCTCTCTCCTTCTTTCTTGCAGGTGGTCGGAGATAAAGTCTTGGAGGAGGACATGAGCTTCCCGGTAAGTTGTTCAACCTGCCCGTCTCCTTGGGAGGCTCCAGCAGGGCTGGGCTGCTCCCGGTTCATCCCGGTTCACACGAACCGGTAGCTCATTTGATGGCCGCTTTGGTGAACCGGCAAATCTCATCCCTGCCCTGACCCTCAAGGGAGTCCCCGCGTGGCCTGTTTTGGATCCCAGCTAAGTACAGGGTTTGGGAGCTCCAGGAGGCCAGAAACGAGCCCATTTCCAGCCTCTGAAGGGCCTCCAGAACCCAGGGAGGCTGTTTTCGCCCTCCTGGAGACTCAAGGGAAGCCTGGAAGATGAAAAGGGGGCCTCCTGGAAGTTCTGGAAGGCCCAAAACAGGCTCATTTCCGGCCTCCAGAGGGTCTCCGGAGCCCGGGGAGGGCAAACCCCCCCCCCATGGTGCAGGAGGCTGACTAGGCCACGCCCACCCAGCAACTGGGTCAGAGAACCGGTTGCTAAAACTTTTGAAGCCTACCCCGGGCTCAAATTACGATTGCTAATCCTGTCTAGAGTAGTTGTTTTCCCAGCTGCAGCTAATGAAGGGAATCAAGGCCCTTTCCTCTCCCGTAAGCCATGTTGCTCCCTTCTCCATTCCTCCCTGTGTGCCCTAGCATGCAGAGGGAATGGGCCTGGGTCTGCCTCTGAATGCCCAGCCGGGCTGTGCCCTTCTCCCGTTTCTTCCACAGCCACTGGAGCCACACTCCCACTCCCTGTCAGCCGCTCAATCTCCCCCTCAGGATCAGACTCCAAAAAGGGCATGACAAGTAGTGTCTTACACACACACACACACACAAAGAAGCCTTTGCAGCCTTAACAGAGCTCCAAGTTGACTTCACAAAGAAAATAAAAGTTGGTAGATGTGCGCGATGTGATAATGCAGATATGAAGGAGGTCCGCTGGGTGATCTCCACCAGTTTTTCTGACCTGGAGCACATTTGGCTTTGGTTAGAAGCGAAGCAACAGATTATTCTGAATTCCATCTGTCAATCAAAAGTTAATTAAGTCTTGTGAAATCCCGGTGACTTAAGTCTCCGGATTAAGAAGGCGAGAAGAACATCTGGCACAAGGCAGGTGGCATTTTTGTCCCTTGGCGCACCTCGACGTTGAGGTTCTCCTGCATAAAATTAAAATGCGAGAAGACCGGCATTTGTTTCTCAATGGGGATTTATTATGGTTTGTGAGGGGTCCTTGGTGGTCTCCGAGCTTGTTGGGGTTTTTTTTGAAGAACTTTCAGTACCCAAACTAGGTAACATCAGTCACCGATGATGTTACCTAGTTGGGTCATGAAACGTCTGGAAGAAAACAAGCTCAGAGAGCCCCAAGGACAACCTCATGTCAACCCCGAGCTACAAACATTCTCCTTTGTGGGATCATGGTTTGTTGTCCACGTCCTCCTCTAGCAATTTTGAGCAGCTTCCGTCTCATGGAATCGTAAGGCAGGCAAGAAAGATCCCAAGAGCCTCGGTTGATGTCAGAGTCTATTCACGAACCGGAGTGGAGTTTAGGAACAAGGTCAGCCAATGAGAGCTGAGTTGAGGGCTGAAACTTAAAGAGAGAATCTAGGCCTGGTTTATCTCTGTTCTGTGCTCAGCTCTAAAGTGAAAGAGAAACTAACTTGCTTGCTTGCTGAAAACTAGAACTCTAGAGCCCTCCACCTGTAACTGTTTGAGTTGGCTCCACGTTGGAGAAATCTACAACTGGTATTGTAAAATTTACTTTGTATGTTAATAAAGAAGTGAAACGAAGCTTCGGCCATCTGTGCTCGCTTTTCTGGCACTGATTTTTATGCTGCAGTACTCTGAACAGTTGACCTCTACCTTGGCAAGGGAGTCTTCTTCTCCAAAAGTCCCACCAAAGGACTTCTCCAGCCTTTCAGACGTTCCACCAAAGCTCGGTTTCCTAGATCTAAAAGTCCGACCTCCACCCCAGTCTCTATCTTTGGTTGTTCTCATGATCTCTCTTCCCCACCTCCCTCCCTCCCTCCCTCCCTCCCTCTGTTTTCCACCCAGCTAACCGTTGGACACTTGGGAAAAGTCGTGGAAGTGAAGCAGTCCCTCATCCTGCAAGACATCAGCTTGGTAGGTCCATCAGAAAGGTCCCTTTCTGGGTTCCTCCCTTTGCGCCATAATTTCCGGTAGTCCTCAACTTACCCCTTTCATGGCCGTTCAACATTACAGCACGCTGGAAAAGGTGACTTATTAGGGTCGTTTTTCGCATGTTTGTTTGTTGCAGCATCCCCATAGTCACGTGATCAAAATGCAGGTGCTTGGCAACAGAGCAGGGGGTCGGACTAGAAGACCTCCAGGGTCCCTCCCAGCTCTGGGATTCTATGAAATTGGTAGATAAGATATACATGATAGGTAGAAAAATAGATAAGAGAGATGAGAGAGGGGGGGCTGTAGATTATGGAGAGAGAGAGAGAGAAAGAGAGAGAATAGATACGTGATAGATGATAGATAGAAAGATAGAGAGAGAGAGAGAGAGAGATAGGAAGATAGATAGGAGAGATGATAGATAATAATTATGAATAGAGAGAGACAGCTGATAGATTGATAGATTGATATAACTGATACATAGATGATAGATAGATAGATAGATAGATAGATAGAAGAGATGATAGATGATAATTATGAATAGAGAGATCGCTGATAGATTTATAGATTGATATTGATAGCAGATACATAGATGACAGATAGATGATAGATAGGTGATAGATAGATAGATAGACAGACAGACAGACAGATAGATAGATAGATACAGACAGATGATAGGTAGATAGATAGATATAGCTGATAGATTAGAGAGATAGATATGGAGAGACAGAGAGAGTGAGAGAATGTTCTGTTATTCTGACTCATATTTATGACGGTTGCAGCATCTCGGGGTTACGTGGTCTTCTCCCCAGCCAAGTCCGTGGGGGAAGCCAGATTCATTTATCAACCTTGTGACTAGTTTAGCAACTGCGGCGATCCGCTTCACAACCATGTTAAGAAAGGTCGTAAAATGGGACAAAGCTGTCCTGCCGCGCCACAGAAATTTTGCTCATAAGTCGAGGACTGCCTGCAATTGGTCCTGCGATGCCCATCAGGAAGGCGTGTGCCTTTTAATTGAAGTCATTCATTGGGGAAAGAACTATGGATTCTCCGGTTGTTTGGCCCCCATCCGTGAACGAGGGTCCCACCGTGGGGCATCTGATGAAAAGGAGAAGCCACAGCTGGTTGTGTTGTGGTCCACCAGTGTCCAGTGGAGATGGCAGCAGAGTCGGAGAGTGGGGAGGGACATGGGCCAGTCCTGGAGTCTGGGGAGGGCTCGGACGAGGGATCTGCATCCGACACAGAAATGGGGCCGGGGCCATCTGGGAGTTATGTGCTGACTCCAGAGCTTCCGGAATCTGACAGCAGCGAGGAAGAGGAACAGCGGGAGCCTATTCCCAGTACGTGCATGCGCAGAGCTGCCAGAAGGCAAGAACAGTTAAGACAAAAAGGGGCGACTCGGGAGGAAGGCTTGGAGATGATTGGCCCCCTCCCATAAGACATAAAGGAGGAGCCAAGGGACAGGAGCCTTTGCAGGAAGCAACTATGGTTTGTTCTGGACGCTCCATGTTGACTTTGGGCTCCATTTGGCCTCGTACAGCTAATTGGCCATTTAATGGTTGGCAGCATTTCAAGGGAGATAAAGGTGGGTGCTTATCAGCCTTATCTCGAAGGACCTGTCGGACGATTCACACACTGTTCGGGACTTATTATGGGCTGTGATTATGACTATAATTCACAGCCGCTGAAATAACAAGAGGGTTTTAGGGACTAAGCGTGTGTTTGGTGCTGTCTCAGGAAGCCTCGGTCAGAACAGGTGGATTCGCACCCACGTTGTCTTCCTTTCGTCCCAGGAGGAACACAAGCAACTGAACACCATGTTGGGCTTCGAGGTGACCTCCATGCTGTGTGTCCCCGTGGTCAGCAGAGCCACCTCCCAGGTGGTGGCCTTGGCCTGTGCCTTCAACAAACTTGGTGGAGAAAGGTGAGTTGGGGACTTGGTCGTACTCAGAAGGATAGAATCTTTAACCAAAGCACAGAGTTGGAAGGGACCTCGGAGGTCTTCTAGTCCAGCCCCCCCCGGCTCCAGCAGGAGACCCTATAGGAGGGAGGATAGAAGTAGAAAGGGTGGTGGGAAGGAAGGAAGGAAGGAAGGAAGGAAGGAAGGAAGGAAGGAAGGA